ACCAGCTAAGGTGGCCACAGCATGCTTCACCCAAGAACCAGACATGAGGTCTGTGACCACAGAGACCCAGCTAAGTAAGTACTTGGCACCTAAAAACTCAATAAATAGCCATTGATGGATGTGACACTGAGTTGCCCCTGATGTCCCCAGGTAAGAGCCATAGATCCTGGGTTACAGTGTGCCCCTCACTGAGCTGGGTCCACACTGCTGCTTATCACAGATCTAAGGACCCCAGTGCCCAGGCTAGCTGAAGGATGGGTGTCCTGAACATTCTAACCCCTTCTGCAGGTCTTCTGGGACCCCCAGCCAATGTGCTCGCTCCCAGGACCCACGAATAGGGTCCTAAGGAGACATGAAATCCCGAGGACTAGTAAAAGAATACAGCAGTGGGAAATGACAGTGTAAAGAATAGATCTCCACCAACCACAGTAGCCAAAGACTAGAACATTGAAAAGATCCTGTTTTAGTAAACTTGTGGTGAGTTTGGTGTGTTCATTTGATCATTCACTCAACAAACATTTATTTTGTACTTGCTGCATGCATGCCTGAAGGCTAGGCCTGATGTTTTTGGCAGTGAATAAGACTAATAAGAACCCCAATCTCATGAAACTTAGGGCTGAGGGGAGACAGACTAAGTAAACAAACAGTGTCATGCAAGATGAGAAATGGTTACCGAGGAGACAGCAGGAAAGACACTAGCAGGAGGCATCTCTTTAGACAGGGGTGGAAGCCAAAGATAGTTATGGGCTCTCGGGACAGACGCACAAATGTACCTAGTACCGCAGGGTAACCAATGTCATAAAGGTTCTAAACCATGTAACTGGGCCACATTAGGAAAACAGTTCAGGAAATCAGGGCTCCTCTGTGAACAGATAAACAAAGGCTAACTGTTTAGTATATAAGAAAGTCCTGATGCTTGGTTGGGTGAGAGTGCAAGCCCCACCCATCCTCCCTTTACTCATTCTTAGACCCTAGATGGTCCCCCTCCTCCGGGCAGCCTCCCCTGGTACACACAGGGCTCTCCAGGCCTTCCCAAGCAATATTTAGGTGCTAAAAACTATTTGCATTTGCTCTGAGACTCCATTTTAACTAAGCATCCTGTAATATTATGATTCATTAAATCTGATAACCATGGGGACTCCTACTTAGTACTAAGTCCCATGCTTGGGGGCATCAGCTAACAACAGATCCCTTTAAAGAGACAGAACCTAGACCACCCAATCCTGGGAACTTGCCCAAGCTTGTTTCAAAGACCTGAGACTTTATTTTTGTTTTTTGAGGGCAAAGAAAACATTCTCTTGGTACCTGCCAGGTATGAGAGAGAGAACAAAGGAAGCTCCCCCTAGTTCCTATAAATCAATTGGTCTAAAAATAAAAAACATTTCATGGGAATATTCTAGGAGAAGAAAAGGAAATCTACTTCCAAGGCTTCCTCTGTGTGGACTCACACTGTTCCGGGTTCCTGGGCGAAGACTGTTAACAAACAGGGCAGGCTGGAGAAGCTCAGTGGAGCCCTCCTGGCCCTTTCCTCCTCAAAATCACCCAGAAAACAAATAACACTGGCTGGCTTAAATGGATACATGCGTCCAGACCTATCCAATAAATGAGGAAACCAATGATGGATGGCTTCCCATTCTTCTACCTTCATGGTCAAGATCTGGGCACAGGAAAGAACAATAAGAAAGAACATACTGCAGCTACCCCCAATGGAGAGGCTGTCAGGAACAGGAAGAATGAATTTAAAGATGGGGAGCTCTGTCCCCTCATCCACTGCAGAAACAGACTCCACTCCAGGGATTCTCAAAGTGGGGTTCCCAGGCCAGCAGTAGCAGCAGCAGCTGGAAACCTCTGAGTTATGCAGAGAGATGCTCAGGCTGCACCCCAGCGGTGCCTGATTGGCTGCTGTGCAGGACACCCAGCAATGCAAGCACACAGAGACAACATGGTTAAGGGCGTCAGTGGGAGCATGTGTGTTTAGAAGCTTTATCAAGCTAAAATTGACAAAGGATAAACTGCTCGTCTTAAAATGTACAATCTAATAAGTTCTGACACATACAATTTCCCCCCTCATCCACGAGAGACACACTGCAGGCCCTCCAGTGGATGCCTGCAACTGTAGACAGTAACAGATCCCACACAGACTGTGTCTACACCTACACACATGCACCAAGGAGAAAGCTAGGCCCAGAAAGAGATTAACAATAGTTAATCACAAACTAGAACAATTCAAACAATATACTATAATAAAAATTTATGTGAATGTGGTGTCTGTCATCTCTGTTTTTTTCAAGATATCTTAGCCAGGGATAGTGACACATGCCAGTAATTCCAGTACTCAGGAGGCTAAGGTTGGAGGATCTTGAGCTCCAGGCCAGTCTGGACAACTTAGTGAGACTGTCTCAAAATATAGACAGATGACAGAGATGGGGGGGGGGGGGGCGCTGGCATGTGCAAGGCTCTGGGTTCAATCCTCAACAATGCAAAAAAATAAATAAATAAAAATCTCACTGTACCGTGTTCACCCTTCCTCTTGTGCTGATGTGAGATGACACTGCGCCTGCATGCTGAGCTGAAGTGAGGGGAACAGCAAAGGCACTGTGAGGTAAGACCAGGGCCAAGCACAGGGGTCACTTGAACACAAACATTGTGATCTGACAATTGATCTGATAACCAGGATACTGCTAAGTGACTAATGGACCAGTAGAAGATACACTGGACAAGGGGATGATTCACATCCTCTGCAGGATGGACCAGGAGTGTGCAAGTTTTTATCTACTACTCAAAATGACACACAATTTAAAACCTATGAGTTGTTCGTTTCCGGAACTTTCCATTTAGGATTTTGGGATCATGGTTGACCATGGGTAACTGAAACTATGGAAAGCAAAATTGTGGCTAAGAATGGTCTACTGTACACTTATGAAACCATCATCACACGAGGTCACTGAATATGTCTGTCATTCCCAAAAGCTCCTCTTTGTAATCTTCTCCCACCACACCTCCTGCCCCGCCCAATCCCAGGCAAACATTGACCTGTCTTTATCACTGTAGATTAGTGTTCATTTCCTATTAGTCTGGAATTTTTCACTCAGTACAATTATTTTGAGAGCCACTCTTGTTCTTGTATCAGTGATTCATCCATTTTTATTCCTGAGTAGTTTCCATTGTATGGCCACATTCAATATCCTCGCTGACTGACCTGCTAATAGACATTTAGACAGTTTCCAGGTTGGAGCTATTACAAATGAAACTGATACAAAGTTTTATGTGGACATACACTTTTATTTGCATACATAAATATTTAGAATAGAATGGAATGTTACATAAGAGGTATGTGTTTAGCTTTTTTAGATAGCTACCAAACTGTTTTCCAAAGTGGTTGTAGTATTTTGCATTCACACTAGCAATGTAGAAAAATCCTAGTTACCCTCAAATTACCATTAGCACTTTTTAAATTTAGCCATTTTAATAATCAGGTAGTGGCATCTCATTGTGGCTTTAAGCTTGAACTTCTTTAATTAATGACTACTGATTTTAGTATATTCTCCTGTGCTTACTTGCTTTCCACTTATCTTTGGAAGAGTATATGGTCAATCTTTTGCCCAACTTTTGTGTCAAGTTGTTTTATTTATAAGTTTTGAGAGTTATTTTTATATTCTGGACACAAATCCCTCATCAAACGTGTATTTTCTCCCAGTGAGTGGCTTGTCTACTCATCTAATAGTGTCTTTTACAGAACAGAAGTTCTTAATTTTCATGATGTTAGTTTGCTGTCTTATGGGCTATGATTTTGGTGTTCCATCTAGGAAATCTTTATCAAACCCAAGGTTGTTGTGGAGATTTCTCTCCTAGAACTTTTATGGTTTTTAGTTTTACATTTAGGTCTACCTCTGAGCCACTTCTGGTCAATTTTTATATATAGTGTGAGATGTAGCTTGAAATGAATTTTTTTTGGCATGGGATTATGTAATTACTCCAGCACCATTTACTTCCCAGACTTGTATGTTTGGAAAGAGGCTTTGGAGAAGAATGATTTACTCACTTCCACCTGGTAAACTCATACTCACTCTTCAAAACTCAGGTCAAATGTCCTCTTGAGTAAAGAGCCTTCCTGGTTGAGGCCTACTAGCTCTTTCAATTACCTCCTGGTGCCTTAAGTATCTCATGCAACCTCTAGGAACTTCTTATTGCACATGATTGTATTTACTTCCGTGTCTGCCTTTCCTGCTATGGTGAAAATTCATAGCTAAACTGAAGGGAGGAGAGGGCTCAGAAAACAATTGTTAAAATATAAACTAATAAAATATCAAGAAAGGAATCATTGGGCTCGAGATTTAGCTCAGTGGTGCCACTGGCTGCCTCGCAAGCGCAAGGTCCAGAGTTCGATCCCTGGTACCAAAAAATTAAGAAGGGAATCATTTAGCTTTTTTAAGCAATTGAGTACACATCTCTCAAGGTCCCACTCAGAGACCAAGTGCAGTGCTCACTTTGGCAGCACAGATACTGAAACAGAGACCAAGTACATCAGGAAACCTCTCTGACCACCTCCCCTCTCTTGGCACCATTGGGATTTGCCCTGGGGGCTGGTTTAGCCAAGCCTTGCACTCAGTGCTCTCAGTGCACCTTCACACTTCATCCTCGAATTGACCCATAAGACAGACTGCTGCTACCAACATCACTTAACCAAAGAAGATTCAGCAGTTCCAAGAGGTTAAATTCCCTGCCTCAGGTCCTATACCTAGTAAGTATCAGAGCCAGGGATTAAGCAAAGATAATCTGATGCCAGATGATCTCTTACCTCCATGCATACCACTTCTCAGTTCCCTTTTTCTTCCCCTCACCAGGCCAGGCCCTGCAAAGGCAGCCACAGCCTCTTCCATATGACCAGCCCTTGCCAACGGCAGTGACAAAGGAAATGAGTGGCACAGAGGACCCTCCAGGCCCCTGCACCTGGCCTAGGGATACAGATGCACACCCCGCCCTGCAGGGCACCAACTTACCTTAGACCACATGCCCATGCCGAAGGAGCTGCTGTCTGCCATCTGGTACAGGTACAGCTCTGTCCTGCAGGCAGAGAAGGGCCCAGGGGTCAGAGAGGGCTGCCCATACAGTGGCCTGCACAGCAGGCCTTCCCTCAGTGTAGGACTCCACCCAGAATGCCAGGCAACCCCAATGGCTCCCCTGAGCCATGGCCCATCAAGTCTGACCCAGGACATTCCAGAAGAGATGGTGTAGAGTCAGATCAAGGCAGTAGGCCCAACTCCAGGTCGTCGGCTGGGTGACCATGCACACAGATCACACACGACCCTCACCATCATGAATGAGGCCTTGCCGTGTGCCACATTGTACCACTGCTTTGACCCCCACCCAGCAGAACTGGAGGTGAACTCAAGGTGCTCTGAGTTACATTCCAGCCTTTTTTAAAAGGTTTTTCTTTTTTAAATTTTAAGATAGGGTCTCCTAAGCCACTAAATTTGTCCAACCTGGGCTTGAATCTGTGCTCCTCCTGCCTCATCTTCCCAGAGAGCTGGGATTACAGGCCTGTATCACCATGCCTGGCTCAATAGTCCAATCTTACCCCCACCTTACAGATGACAAAATGGAGGCACTAGGACTTAGCTCCTCATCCACAGCTTCACAGACAGCAATACTTAGTCAAGTATTTGCCTCCTAGAGCCTGACCCCTATGTGGTCCTGCCCCATGCCTACTCTCAGGCCTCAGGCTGCATGGGCAAAGTGTCATGAGGCTCAGGCCTCTTCAGTTTCCTTGAGAACCTGCAGCTGGGCCTCTCCCCAGGCCTGAAGGGTGTGAAGCAGAGCTGGAGCACAGCGATGTCCTTCCCACACACATGTTCCAGAAGCATGCAGAGCACACTCGGCAGACCAGGCAGTTCTCTCTTCTGAGCATCATGTGCTTCCTCTGAAATGGTCGTATTCCCTCGCCTTACTGCTCTAAATGAGCTATCTGTAGTCTGTCTCTCTGTTCCTCACACCCCCTCCATTCGCTGGAAAGTCAATTTGATGAACAATTGAAAAGCATCTATCCTACCGAGTGCCAATTCCCAAGCTAGGGAGTGACTGGGAGGCAGAAAGGAGTAAGGGGATCCCTGATTCAGGAATCTCATAGTCAATCCAGTGAAGAAGACAGATCTGTCCACCCCAGCATGACAGGTGCTGAAACAGAAGCACATTCCAGGCATCAACATGGAATAAAAGAGAACCTGAGGAGCAAAAATCAAGCAATGCTCCTTTAAAAAAAAAAAAAGAAAAGGGCTAGGGATTTAGCTCAGTGGTTTTGCAGCCTGCCTTACAAGCACAAAGACCTGAGTTTGATACCCAGTACCAAAAAAAAAAAAAGGATTTGGACTAGGGTTTTTAGGAGTTTACCACATGAGTGTCTGGGAGAAAGTAAAGACACGAGTGAAAGTAGAAACTAGTTTTTATCCTTTGGAAGCTTTCTGATGGTGATGCCCCCACCCTGGTAGCAGCAGAGGTGGAGACTGGGAAATAGCATGGGGCCACTACTGAGCCTCCAGAATGCCTGTGACCTGCTCTGGGGTCTGAGTAGCTTCACACTGTTCTCTCCACTCTCCCGGAGCCCAGGCTGCAGCAGGGGAGCTGCATGTGCCCCTCAGTGTTGTGAGAGTGGAAAAAACAGGGGACCCAGGAGGGGCACCCTCTCCCCAAGGCCACAGGGCTGGAAAGTGGGTTCCAAACCCTCCTGTCCGGAGTCACACATTGTGCCTTCCTGTGTCACATCCTCAGTGTGCACCCCACGTGGTGCCCACTGCCCTGACTCAGTATTTCAGTGCTCAAAGCAAGGAATGCATACTGCAGAGGAAGAAACCGAGGCTCAGAGAGGCCCACCTGCAGCAAAGCCAGTGTCAAGCACACATCCCTCTGACCCAAAAGCCAATTCTTCCCAAGGAATCCCTGGTCAGGGGCAGAGGACACATGGGATAAAAATCCTCCCAAAATAACCGCAAACCCACACAAAACATGCAGCACTGAGGATTGCTGCCTGTTCACACTTTGACCCCAATAGCACTTTGGGGTAGACAGAATTACACCGGGTTTACAGGTGAGCAGAGGCCCAGAGAGGTGATGTCATTAGTCCATGATCACACAACCAGCAAGCAGAGGAGCCAGGGTACAAATGTGCAAAGCCTGGGCCCAGAATCTGTGGTCCTATCACTGGGCTCTACCGGGCAAGCCAAGTGCTTCCTTCTGTGGGTTCCGCAGGTCTTGCAGAAGCTTCCTCAGTCCCTAGTCACTCTGTTCTGAAAACTGGAACTGCCTCTCTGACCTGGCCTCTCTCTGCAGGTATAGTGGTCTCTCCAGTCTAAGCCTGGGCTCAGGACAGGTTGAGTCTACCATCCAAATGGGGTGGAAGACAGGGAGTATCAAGGGGCATGGAGGAGCACACTGCAAATCATCACCTTGCACATGGGAAAGGGCAGCTTGCTCCTCCCCTGGGCCTTTATTAGATCCTGGTTGATGTTGATGACAGAGGAGGAAACTGAAGTTCAGTCAGAGAAAGCCACATGTCCAGGGATCCCTGCACCGGATTGTGCCCAGTCCTGAGGGGGCAAAGACAACTTTCCAGGCTACCTCTTTCAGGAAGTCCCCCAAGATGAGGCTGTCTGACAACTCTCCAGTTCCCCTTAGTCCTGAGGCTCCCTCATGTGTACCCCAGGCTCCCACAAAGTTTAGAAAATTCTGGAAGACATGGGTCTTGTCCCACATCAAGCTCTGTACCAACATGACCTTGTGCCAGCTTCTATAAAGTTGGATGTGACTATACCACTCAATCCTGTAGGGTCTGTCCAAGGTGTGGTCTCCCCTCTATTGAGGAAGACATTGAGACTCAGAATGGCTGGTGTGTGACCAAGGTCAACATCTGGGAGCAGTGTGTACCCCAGCTAGCTGTGATGGAAGGCATCTCAATTCTGGGTGGAAATAAACAGGTGCCATCAGCCCCATCTTCTGATGTCTCCACCCACCTGGGACTCACCTGAGATCCAGGTCTAAACCAGCCAGCATCTGGGAGAAGACGGGAAAGTTGCCTTCCCCTTCAAGCGGCCGCACCACTCTGCTCTTCTCCAGGAGCATAGTCTACAGAGGGAATAACACTGTCAGCTGCAGGGCATCCCTCTGAGCGTGGCCCGGCCCACACACTGAGGACTCATGCCAGGCCCAGATTCAGTGGCAGCCTCTGCATCTCAACCCATCTGCCCTGTGTGGCACTAATTCAGAGGCCACCCAGGAAGTCCGCTAATGCCACAGACCCAACCTAACTGGAGTACCATAGGACAACTGCATTCAGACAGGGCTGCCCTCCCCACACGTCCTGCAACAGAAGCCCCTAGAACTTCCACCCAAGTAGTGTTTCCTGGCAGGACATGAGGCCAAGAGAGCAAAGGGATACACAGCCCCTGGCAAGTTTTCCAAGACCCAGGCTGTCACTCTAGCTCCATGCACAAATATCGGCCTCATAACCTAATCCAACTTTCTGTTCTAACAGAACGTGTGTGAGGAGGGGAAGGCTGCAATGGCCTTGGAGATGGGGACAAACCGGCCACGTATCCATCATGTGAGGACACTAAGGGGGACTGGCCAGTGTCTGTTTAATTTTAGCTCATCCTCTTAAAACCTAGTTAATGAGTGGTTGAATTATATATTTATTCATAAATACTTCATCTCCACAACAGGCCGTGCCTCAGGCAAGTGGGGCTAGTGGTGTGGGGACAGGATACTGCAGGGACCAAGTGAGTGGGTGCAGAGCAGGTGGTCATGGCTAGGGGAGCAATGACCATTTCAGACACACCCCAGGTTGTAGCTGGATGCGTGGGGCCAAGCAGCCCTGAGGGTTCCGTATGAACTCCCAGAACTCTCACCTGGAGTTGTGCAGCTGTCACTCGTCCAGTGGCATTGAAATCCAGTGACATCACCATGGCCAGCCGGGTGGCACTGCAGCTATGGCCTGTGCACACGGAGCCGAAGGCCCGGAGAATGGTGAAGGTGGCCTGGATCTTCTCCACTGAGTGTGGCAAAGTGGGTGTCACTCATGGCTCACACGGAACCACCTTCCCACTGGTCCCGGCTCTGGCTCAGCCCATTCTATCCTCCACCTGACTTGGGCTCCCTGCTGTTCCCCAGCTCTGCTCTAAACCATACCCTCTTTGCTGAGCACCAGTTGCTGCTGTCACCCGGCACTACAAGCACCGGGCTAGCAAGACTCAGTCAGAATGGGCTGCCCTAGGAGCCTGGGAAAGCGAAATGCTAACACTTCAGACCTACCTCAGGACCTGAGGCCTAGCAGCAGGTCAGAAAAGCCCTGCAGTCCCTCCACAAAATTCACTGAGCGCCAACTGTACTGGGCATCTAGATACAATCCATCCTGACTCCCACCTTCAAACACACAGCAGAACCAAGCTCTGGGAGGGCAGAGACCAGTGCCTCTCTCACTGAATCCCAGCTCCTAACTCAGGCCAGGTACAGAGTAGGGGCTCGGGAAAGCAAGGGAAGAACCCAGCAGGGAGGCAGTATGCTCAGTGTCCAGGAGAGATTCAGTATGGGTTCTGCCCTTCACTAGTTACCTCATTTGGGAACAATTAGTTAACCTTCCTGTGTGCCAGAAATTTAGCTCAGTGGTTCCACTGCCTGCCTCACAAGCTCAAAGGGGACAACAAAAGTACCTCCCTTACCTGGGGATTTAGCTCAGTGGTTCCACCACCTGCCTTGTAAGTGCAAGGTCTTGAGTTCGATACCCAGTACCAAAAAAAAAAAGTACCTCCCTCACCTAGTTGTCATGAGCACTGAATGACTGAATAATGTGAAGCACTTAGAAAGTGCTCCGAAGGTGGTGGTGGTAGTAGTGGTGGTGGTGGTGGCAGTGATGGTGCATTCATTACGATTGGAAATGCAATCCTTCAGGGGGTCTCAGTGGGGGACACTGTACTCACAGTGGGCAACACCAGTTCTTGGAAGTGGTTAATAAATAGTGGTTTTAATGCACATATCAATGTATATATACTATATACATGGTTTACCTGTCGGGGAGATGGCTGGGGGAAATGTCTACAAAGCCTTCTTGGGGAACAAAAATAAAAAAATGAGAACAGTGGCCCAGTGGTTACACTCAGGAGCCAAACTGCCTGGATGTGAAATCTCAGCTCTAGGGTGGATTTATTATGGGGCCTTCAGCAAGCTAGTTAACCTCTCTGATCTCAATTCCCTCATCTGTAAAACTCAAGTAATAATATCTACCTTATAGAACTGTCTGAAAATAAATAAGTTCATACATGTGGAACGGGGCCTGGCACATAAGTCTTCCACAAATATTTACTCTGATTGCTATTAATATTGTAATTATTATTACTATTATTAATTGATGCTCTTTCTATGCCCAGCTCAAACTTCACTTCCTCCTGAAAGCCCTTACACCACTCCTGCATGCCTCCTAGGCCTCCTCTCTAACTAGCTGTGCCAGCATTTTTTGGAGAACTTTTGACTATGTACATATGTATAGTTCTCTCCCCTCTGCTGGGCATAGGCTTTGCCTGTCTGTCTTTATGCAATGGGTCCTCTGTACAGTTCAGCAGGTTATACACTGCACACAGACACCACATCCAACAGGTGGACTGGTCACAGCCCTACTGTCCCAGATTTGTGTGCTTATTAGTATGGTTTCCCAGCAGATGGCAGTCAAGCATCTGGTCCCGAAAATGCCAATATATGGTGATTATTCTGCAGACAGCTGTCAATATCTTGACGAAGGAATACTTTTATCTAATTCCAACAAAGGTCCCCAGTGGAATAGAGGACCGCCCTGCTCAGTGTCAGGCACCAGGTCTGCACATATTAAGGCTCAGTGAATGCTGGGTGAAGGAAATGCAACTGTCTCCTCCCCACACATCACCTGAAGACCACCATACCTGACACCCTGCCATCCACACAGCCTGCCATTCCCACCAGGTGCTCCAGGACCTGCTCACAGCAGGTGGTCTTCCCAGCACCGCTCCGGCCCAAGGCTATGATGCTCTGGTCTCTGCGCTGGCTCAGCATTGCCCAGTAAGCCCGCTGGGCAAGGGAGCTGACGTGGGCAGGCAGGCCATCCCGGCGGCTTCTGGGCACCTGCAGGAAGATAACAGGCATCAGCCTTCCCAACTGGCCACTGCTGGGGAGCACAGAAAGACGGTGCCCCACACCAGGACAGAGTCCCTGTGTCCAGCTCCCACCCTACTCTGACTTGCCAGAGAAGTCTCAGCACTTCACCAAGCGGGTCCTGTCACTCACTCAGTGTGAGTCCCTGGGCAGGCTGTGACTCTTTCCTGAGCCTGAGTGAGTTAGATAATTAGAGGCTTAACCCTGAGTCACATTGGCCTCTGGAATTCATGTCACTACTCAAAGCACAGCACCTGCCTGAAGTGAGGCAGCTGGATAAAATGGGGTGATTGATTAATGATGTCTGCACCAAACGGGGTGCGGCATGTGGGAGAATTGGTATGTGCCCTGTGCATTGGCAGTGACCGACTACCCGAAACCACACCGACTTCCTCGACTCAGTCACACTTCCTTCAGTAAGAACTCTACTGAGGGTCTGCAATGTAGCAGGCTCAATGCTATGCAAAATGGATAACAGACATCGCAGCCAACCACAAGGAGATACTCTCATATGTCTATTAGAATTACTTAAAAAATTGTCAGTCAGTTTCAGGTCCTGAAGAAGATGTGGAACAACAGGAATTCTCAGACTAGGCTGACAGGGGTGCAAGATGGTTCTATCTCTTCACACAGACTGGCAGTTTCTTACTCAATCCCCAATACCACTCCAGGGACTTAACCAAGAGAAATAGAAATTTGTGATCTCACTAAACTTCTGTGTCATTGGTTATATTGCATAAATATACAAAACCTCCCAAAGCTGGAGACAACTTGAATGTTCTTCAACTGGTGAAGCAAGGTAACCCACCATCCTAAGTTCTGCATTCCAAGTGCCAGGACTCAGAGAACACCTTGGTCCTGGGAAAACTAGGACAACTGTCACCCAGTTGTCAACAAATAAACAAACAAGTGCACCCTACACTAAAATAAAAGAAGAAACTACAGATAGATGCAACAAGATGTGCAAATCTTCAAATGCATAGTAGTGAACAGGACAAGCTGATTCAAAAGGTTACATATAGTACAATTTCATTTACGTGACTTCTTGGAAAAGAAAAAACTAGCAGGACACAAAACAGATCAGTGGCTGCACAGCGTGGGACTTGGATCTGGGGCTAACCACAGAGGGGCCAGGAACCTTTCAGAGCTGGTAGCAACTGTCCTGTAATTGATTATGGAGGTGGTGACACAGCTGGACACTTTTGTCAAAAACTCACCGAACTGAGTGCTAAAAAGGTGAACTAAACTCTATACAAATTATTCTTCAATAAACCTGACTTTAAAAAGGCCCTGTCTCTGAGCAGCTTGCTTTCTGGTGGGAAGAGAGAGATGATAAACAAATGATTCAGTTCTATCCAAGGGTAGTCATTTGAGAACCACAAGCCTGGGTGAGGTATCAAGGTGTGGGTGTTCAAACAGGAGCAGAGAATGTGAGGACTGGGGCACCCCGACACTGAGAAGTCAGAGAGACTCCTAGAGAGGCAGAGTGGAGGTTCCAGAAGAAACCAAGAGAGCAGAGTCCCAGAGCCAGGGCAGAGAAGGAGCACTTGCAGGACAGGAAGTGGCCCAGCTCCTTAGCACGCTGACCTCAATCAAGAGGAGACTGAGGGCTGACAGTGATCATGACAGCAGAGAGCTTTACAGTGACCCTGACAAGTGTCTGCTTAGCAGGTCTTCAAGGAAAAGCCAAGAGGAGGCTCTGAGTGAGTGGGAGGGAGCAGGAGGGGCCATGCTGGAAAAGCATGCACAGAGCCTAAGACCCCAAGAGGTAACCAAAGAGCCCACCAAGGTCCCATCTGCCTTCCCTAGTTACTTGAGCCCAGGATGGTGACCCTCTCCCTAGCTGGAACCTCCAGGTGGAGGCTTCAATCCACTGCTGGCCTTTCCTGCTCCAAGACCCCATGAAGAGCAGCAAGTCCCCGTCCTACTGCAAAGCACACAGCTCAGCAGAATCGTGCATCAGGCAAAGGTGGGACAAGCCCCACACAGCCTGGGCACAGCCTCAGGGCACAGGGTAGGCACAGGTCCTGGGATCCGGGCCCTGGAGCTACCTCTACTCTAAAACCCTAAAGTCCTATGAGCAAGCTGTCCCATTCTTTGGCCCCTCTGGTCTACTGTCTGGAGAAGAGAAGGGATTTTGCATCTGCACACAGGTACATGTGTGCACAGGTGTACACGCATGTGTTCATGGGCACAACACCCAGTGGCTGCACACAGAGATGCCCACTTGCACCCTCCAGTCACACACTTGTTCACACCCATGAAGATTCCAATACCCTCAGCTCCCAGGCCCAGCTCCTCCCTCAGTGAGAGCCCCAGCTGTGCCCCAAAGCCATCCACAAGGTGGCCCATCCCTAGCCTTGCCGCAGGTCTGTGCTCCCACCTGGTGGCCATTGGAGGAATCAGAGTTGACTTAGCCAGAGGCTGAGAGGAGGCTGTGGGTTGGGCGACTTGAGAGAAGGGAGAAGGAGGTCACACTGATCAGAGTCCCCTGCAGGTGGGTTCCACTGCCCGCACTTTGAGGCACTTTCGCCAGAACTCAATGTTCCAGTCCAGGATGGCTATGTGGACCTGGTCTGCTACCGAAGCCTGTAAAGATGTCACTTCCAGGGGCTTCCAAGGAGTCAGAGACAACACTCAGCCATACAGACAGCTCACAGGCCCTGGGCTGCAGTCACAGAAGCATAAGCACTCGTGGCAGGGAAGGGAGAGGGCAGGACCAGTCTTCCACCCACCCAGGCTTCTAAGGTCCTCACAGTCCCTGCCCAACAACAGCTTGCTCAGTGTCCTAGGGGGACACTAAAGGTGCAGGGCAGATCACTTGAAAGAAAAAAAATCTTAGGAAGAGGGGTTCAGGTCCATGAGCTCTTCTCTATGAACCTAGCATCATCAGGGACTAAGATGAATGTGTACCTGGGGGGAATTCAGCAGGTAAGATGCGGCTTTTTATCCTGACAGATGAGAAAACTGAGGCCAGAGAAGCTTCACAGTCTTCCCAAGGCCCCAGTGTCCTATGCCCTTGCCAACAAGTGCTCAGAACAGGTGCAAGTGGGTTGCTTCCCCTCCTCTATCCTCTTGTCGCCCTTTTGCCTCTTCCTATCTGTCTCTAACAACAGCTGAGAGGATCCTGTTATAATGTCAGTCAGCTGCTCCCACCCACCCAGTACTGCTAAGAATCACCAGCAGCCACCATTGTTCCCAGAGTGAAAGGCAGAATCATGATGAGCACACAGGAGACCTGTGCCATGAGTGCTGGGGCCCCTCCTGACCTGAGACCTCACCCACCTGCCCACACACATGCTCCTCCATGCCGCTACTGTGATGCTACTACCCATGGCCGGCTGCCCTCCCTAGAAGTCTGTCCTCTGACCTGCTACCACCTCCCTGCCTGGCAGGTAGGAGACCCTCTACCAATAGCTCAGTGTCCATCTGGTGAAAGAGAGAAAGGGACCAGCAAAGAATACAGGTATGGTTCCAAGTCCCACCACTTTCACTGCCCAGCTTGGCAAAAACTGGCCATTTCTACACTGGGAAGAAGGAAAGGAGAGAGGGAGGAAGAAAGCAGAACCAAAGGGCTGGGCTGTAACTCAGTGATGGAGTGCTTGCATAGCATGTGTGAGGCCCTGGGCTCTACCCCCAGTCCCGCAGGGAAAAAAAATGGAACAACAAAAAACCCAGAACTGAGGCTTCTGTTTCCGCATCCATTCAGGCATTCAGGATCAAGAGTCTGGTACCATGATGAGCACACGGAGGAGTCCGAGGGGTGCCCCCCAGCCCCTCCACCTGCTACACCTGACCACAGCTTCCCCAGCCCAGCCAATGCTGCTCACCTGTGCAATAGGCTCATAAACATTCCTGCCTCAGACAGGTAAGAGAATCGAGTCGGGACACAAGCACTGGTGGTGTCAGGCACACAGGCGATACCCACTCGGCAGGTTCTCTGATGTTGTTATCACCCATTACACTCCCAGCCTCTGACTGGTCCCCTCTACCACCTCCCAGGGCTCTGGCTCACAAGCCTTCTATACTCACAATGGCCCTGAGCTCTGCCATCACCGCCCTTGGCGCCACCTCACCTTCCCCGAAGAGGGTGCCATGGATCCCTGGGGCTGGAGGACAATGAGGTCTGGACCCGCGCAGGTCTGTAGCAGCTGAGCCCGGGCACGCTGCAAGAGCGTGTTCAGGATGCTGGATTCATTGACACTGACAAGAGAGGCCAGGTCGTCTACGTAGTCCAGCTCCGGAGGGTTGGCCTGTGAAACACATACAGGAATCCTCGTGCCTCCTTTGCCTCCAAGATGAATGCCTGCATGCATGCACATGCACACATGTACACACATGCACACACATACACACACACACACACACACACAAAGGCACACATACATGAATGCATCTGCTCACATGCTCACAGTAGTCTTGCCCTTTGGGGCCACATGCCAAGGAAACAAGGATGCTGGAGGGAGAGTGACAAGACCCTACCCATGAAATAGGGGAGCCCCTTCTCCTTGCCCCAGTGCACCCTGAGAGCCCCTCTCTTTGGTCACTGTCCTGTGTTCACTGCTCAATAAAGATGTTCTGAAGACCCAGGAAAGTTCATAATAAGGTCTTGTCTCAGATGCCACAAAAAGACAGCTGATGTTTTTAGAGTGTGCACTGCTGTTACCTCCTTTCTAGGTCTTAAAGGAGAGGTTCTCTCTGGTACCCAGGGATGGAAGTCAAATACAAACTATCTCTTGAGTCTGATAGCCCCCTGAGATTTGATCTCCTGGAGATACCCTCAAACCCCTAAGAGAAAAGTTGATGCTCCAAAATATAGGTTGTTGGAATTTATGCTATAGTTAATGGCAAGTAGATTTATCTGTGACCTTCCTAGTAGCCAGAGTGAAAAGGAAAATCTGTAGCATGATTTTTCAATGTCCATAAAGTGAAAAGCAGTCACTTTCCTGGATCAATCAGAACTCCACTGCCAAGACCTGACAAGCATGTCTCTTGGTGTGTTTTCATGAAGGGGATGCTGTAGGACAGAGTAAATGACCCCATAATGTTACCCACCAGCAGAGCAATGACTTCAGTGGGGTATTCCTATAACTCTCAAGAGCATCAATCCAAAGCGGTATCTGCAGTCTGGTACAATCTCTTGCAGGGGTAGGAAAAGAGGGTAAAGAGCCTGCAAGGAAAGGACAGGGGACTCACCCTGTGAACATGCTCCTCATCAACCTCAGTGACCGTTTTGTCAGCATCAATGCAAAGTCGCACCCTTCCTGCTGGCAGGTCAGCTGTTCCCTCATCTGGCTTTAGCACCGTTGCTGGTTGGAGAGAAAAAGGGAAATGTGGAAGAGGGGAGGGGATGTGAAAGGATAGAGAAGAGAGTTTTGGAGTCAGGCTAGGAGCTGGAGAGGGACGGGGACAGGTCAGAAAGGGGCTACTTCCTGCCCCATTGGGGTCTATTTACATAGAGGGTTCTCAAGTTTGACCTCCCCCCCAAAAAAAATCCTTTAAGGACAGAGGCTAAGTCTGGTTTCAGGGCAAGGCCGAGTAGGCACCCAGCTGGTTGGGGGCACTGGCCCACCTCAGACCTATTCCTGGGACCTAGACTGGCCCACCCCATACCTAGCAGTGGCATACAGACTACATTTCTCCAAAGTGCCTGTGACAGACATCACTAATCAATCCCTCTTCCCAGCCATGTTGCAGCTGGAAATCAGAATCACTTAGAGTGTAGTCATCAGTCACAACTAATTGATGAGATCTCTTTGCCTACCTGCTCTGGACTCTGCAGAACTAACTGTAGAAACCAAACCATTCTCGTGGCAGGAAATAATTAGTTAAATAATTAGCTATCAAGCCTCAGATGTCATTGAAAGAGTACCCAGTAGGCCAGCTACCAAGACTGAGCATTTCCAACCCCAAAAAGATCACATGTCCCCATCCTAGTCTCTTCTGCTCCTTACCAACTTCTTTCCACCCTAAAGTGTGGTCAGGATCCAGCAAAGAGGACTAACAACTAGAGGGAGCACAAGAGGAGCAGACTTATACCCCTAGGGAGTGGTGACACCCTGATTACCAAGAGTAAATCCATCCTTCTGAACCAACCAGACCTTCTCTGCCTCGTACCATCTGTCCTCATGAGCCTGGGAACAGAGACCACACAAATTAAACGAGCAAAGTGACACCAGCCCCACCCTAGTGTGCGGGGAACCTGTCGAGTGGGAGTTTGTAAGAGACCACTGAAATCAGAATCTGCTGAGAGATGGAGGGGGTGCTTACTTAACTGCAGATTCCTGGGCCCTGCTCCTGGCTCTTGGAATGAGATCTTCCAAGATGGGCCTGAGAATCGGCAGTTTAGCCCATCTGCTCTTTTTGCCACCTCAGGTTTGAGAACTGTTGGGTGACATGGTAAATAAGCTGATTCCTATCAGCTAAGAAGGAAACCTCCCATTCTGAGAACCTTCTCCAATACCCTGTCCACCCCTTGCCCTCCCCAGGGGTAAATGTTTCCCACTCCTCCATCTCTGGAGGATCCTGCCCACCCTTCCCGACTCCAAGGCTGCAGCCCATCACCTGGCCCAAGCCTCCACTGTGGCCGCCTCTGCCCTGGTCCTGCAGGGTGGGCCCCTCCTGGGCCTGCGTCTGTCCTGGAGGCTTTTCCACCCTAGTTTCCAGAGAAGGCTCCGCACACCCCTCCTGCTGTGGCTCTGGGCCCCCAGCTGCATCCTCCACTTTGGTGCAGGGCTTCTCAGCTCTCTGTGCTCTGCTTTCTGGCCGGTCCTCTGGCTCCGTGACTGCAGGTGACACCCTCTCTATAGCTACTTCCTTTGGCACTTTGCAGCCCTTGTCAGCCTGGCTCCCAGCACGACCTGTCCCAGCAGCCTTCCTCTGAGGCTGCCCCACCTCTTCTGACTTTGGAGCCTCACTTGCCTTTCCAGGCTCAGCTGCTTTCCCCAGCGTCTGCAGCGCCTCCCCAGCCTGCCCGGCCTTCCCCTGCACTTTGCCCCTCTCCTCCATCTTGGCCTGAGGCTTACCTGTCTTCTCTGCCATACCAGGGAGCTCACTTTCTCTGTCCTTCTTGCTCTGGGGACCATCCCACTTGCTCCTGCTCAGGAACTCTCCCCACTTCTTCCCTTGCACTCGAGGCCCAGCATGCTTCCCTTCAGCTCCCATATCCTTGGACTCATTTCTCTTTTCCATCTTGGTTGGGGGATCCCCTCCCTCCTTTTCCACTGTCCCCAGTTGCCCCCCGTCACCTGCCCCTCGGCTTTGAGGCCTGGTCCTCTGTTCCTCTTTGTCCTTGGGCTCACCTCCTTTTGGCCCCTTGGTCTGGAGGCCCCCACTCCCTTTCCCTACTGTGCCTTGACCCTTCTCGCCTTTCATCCCTTGGCCTGGGTCCCCATGACCCCCAGTCAGAGTCTTCTCAGGCTTTGAGGCCAAATCTTCAGTACTGGCCTGAGGGCCAGAAGTTCCTGGGGTCTCCCCTTCCTTTGCCCCTCCAGGGTCTGTGGCTGCAGGTGGGGTCTTGCAAGTAGGGGTATCATGGGCTTGGTTTCTGTGCTCCGGCTTGGTGGCTTCTGGGTCCAGCTTGGCCACCATTAGTAGCACATCACCCCTCCTCACTGTCTTCTTGAAGGGTAGGGCTTTTCTGGCCGGTATCCCACCGGGGCCTGGCTCCTGGTGCCTCTCGCCATTGACGCTGGTCATCAGTGCAGGGTCAGCAGTGCCAGAATGCTGGTTGTCCTTGCCTGGAATGCTTGTGCCCTGGAGAGAGGTAGACTGGCTGTCCCCAGAAGTCTGTTGGCTCCCAGATTTAGTGCCACTGTTGGTCTTGCTGTTGGATTGGTTGACAGAAACTTCTGGGGTCTAGGAAAGAGATCACCATATTGAGCTGCTGTCGGACAGCTTTGCCACACGCTCATGCTTATCCACCCATCTATCCCTCCACATATCCTCCAGCACCTCCAAGATCCCACAGGCACCATGCTAGGCAAGGTACAGAGCCTCAAGGCCAAGGGACAGAGTGGAAGGGCAGTGAACTTGGGAGCCCCACAGAACCAAATTCAACTCCTGGCTCTTGCACTCCCTCATTGTGTGTCCTTAGGAAAATAAAATTGTTCTCCCCCTTTGAACTTGCATCTTTATCAATAAAATAAAAATGGTAAAGGCCTTATAGGGTGGATGTGAGGATTTGTGATTCTGCACAGTAACCAAGCCTCACACATACCAAGACTTCAGTAACAGAAGGTCCTGCTGCTATTATTATTATTCCTGGCTTGACTCTTCCTGCTGGCCAAGGAAGAGATGGGGAAAGGACCCTCTTCCTATCATTAGAGGTCCCACTCTCCAACTGGGTGACCACTGGCAGCATCATCTTTAGTTTCCCTTAGCTGCCCCCAGCCATGCAGATTTTGGATGGGGGTGCCATGCAGAGCGGGAAGGGCTCTGGAACACCCAGAGAGAATGAACAATCTGAGCTGCTGCTTCTGCTGCCCTGCTCCCCTGACCCACTGATTATTCTAGCTGAAAGCCCTCGTTTCCATCCTCAGGTCCTCAGCTTCCATCTGACCCCAACATTTGGGGCTACATCATAACCAAGGGGATTCCACGGCCTCTCTTCTGGGTACTTTTCTGCCTGTCTCTTCAGCCCTGCACAGCCCCCGTTCTCAGGGCCAGCCTGAGACCTCTGTTATCACTTCTGCACATGGAGACCTAGAGGCCATTCTGCCACAATGCCTAGCTTCGTCCCCAGCCCTTGTCTGGCTCTTCCATCTGGACCATGCTGGTGCAGTCTCACATACACCTGTGCTGGGAACTGGAGCTCGCACCCCCTCTTGCACTCAAACCAGCCCTGACAATGAGTTGATTCCCCCTCCCAAGCCAAGCCTCCATGTCTCTTTTCCCAGATCTTCTTTCTCACTTGGGCCATTGCCACAGCCTCGGAACTGGGCTCCATTCTGCTGGCTGCCAGTCATTTTAAATCTGATCCAGCGATGTTGGTGGCTGCCCACAGATTACAGAAAAATCACTCCACCCCATATCAGACATTCAAATCCTCAAGGAGGGGCCCCCCAGGCCTACTCTGGTCTGATTGTCCCTTCTCATCTCATGCTACACTGGGCATCTCCCACCCTGCTTCTCTGAGCTTGCTCACACTGAGTAGCTACCAGCCCACCCTCCCCTTGTCACTTGTCCACCATCTGCTCATCATTCTATACTCAGCTTGGCTGTCCCTCTGCACAAAGCTTTGCCTGAACACTTCCATCAGAAGCTATCTCATGAATCCCCGGAGTCCTAGAGCGCTAGGCTGGTGCCTCCATCTCGGCAGTGACCATATTCTGAACTCCATTCTAGCTCTTATTTGTGTCCCTCTCCTGTGTAGGGCAGATGCCACAAAAGCACATATAGCCCTCTCTTCATCTCTATACTAATGATAATGGTGGTGACCAAAGACCCCTTCGCAGTGGGCCCTGCATCACTATGATACGGAATCTTGCTGAAGCTTCCTGAGGATGCAGGGAGGTAGGTGCTCAACTGCACCCCATTCTGCACCCAGATGCCAGGTGGCCCACGGCAAAGCTGCAACATGAAGCTGGGTCTCTTGGACCCAAATTCTGTGGCCCTCAACTGCTGTATATCACATGCCCTTTCTTGACTTTCTAAGGCTCTTTGGAAACTCTTAGGAGCTTTTAAAACCCAGACACCTTGCCCCCCTTCCCAGAGCCTCTGAAGTAGTCAGACTGGTTACCACACCATTGGTGATTTCAGTGCCCTGCCAGAGCTGAGAACCATGGCTCTGCCAGCCCTGACCAAGTGGCTCAGACTGACCTTCTGGGACCTGCAGGACAAGCCTCAAAAGAGAGATTCACTGCACTGGCAAGTTTCACCCCATCTACACCCTCCTGAAAAGTGAGTCAGTGCCTTATTTTTAACCAACTGGCACAGAGGAGGCAGTAACATGGGGATGCACCACACAAGCTCACCAAGCCCAGGCTCCCCCCATGCTGCAGACATGCGAGTTCTCGTCCTTTGGATTCTCACAGTCACAAAGCCCTTCCCCACCACAGCCTTCTCCACATATGGAGGGAGTAGCCCCTCTAGGCTCAGCCTTCTAAAATCCATGAAGTCAAGAGGAAATGCATAGCACATCTATTTTACAGGTGAATAAACTGAGGCCTATGGAGAGGAAAGAATTTGCCCTGGACTGCACCAAGTGATGGACCGGGGCCAGAACCAGATCTCCTTGACATTCCACTCGAGGGCTCTACAGCCTCTCCTTGGCCCCTACTGGCCATGTGACCTTAAAAAAATCAGGTCACCTCCATGAGCCTCATCTCCCCTTCCTGCCACATGGTGATAGATCCTATGGATCCTGACAGGATTCTATGGGGGCCAAGGGGACTGTTGTGCTGGCACAAGGAGAGGGAGTGTGGGGTATTTACTGATCAGGACAAGAAACTTCAATTGCCAGGAGCCAGCCACAAGGACATGCTCCAGAGGCCACCTTGCTCCAGCTCCTAGAACATCCTGGCTTGTGGAGCAGCCACCTGCTGTGGCCTAGGGCCTGTCCATCTCCTGCCTTGGCTGTGAGTCTGTGCCTAGGACCAGCAGTGACAATTTGTCTCCATGCTCAGCTCAGTTCTGCTTCTTTCTCTTGTTCATAGTGATGCCAGCATGACCCACAGCCTTTTGGGCCCCTGCCCTCCCCAACCCTCCAAGGCCACCACATTGGCCACCTCACTCACCAGATGGCCCTTCCCCAGGCAACTCACAAAAAATGGAGAGCACACAGGCTTACACTCCAGCTCAGCCTCTATCTGGTCTCACAACCTTGGGCAAGTCATTGACCTCCCAGGGCTCAGTCCCCACCACTGATGCATGGGTGTGAGTTCATCCACCCCACTGTCACACAGCATCTTGAGTAAGCCCATGAACAGCAAACTGGACGTTGTCTGGTGATACACAGAACACAGTAATATTTTCTCATGACCTGACAACTGCTGTCTGGAGCCAACTGAAATCAGACAGGCAGGGAAAAAGTGCTGTCCTCCCTGTCATTCTCCCCCAACAAGGCTTGGCCAGACTATTTCTACAACTGCTACTGTTTCAGCTGCTGGAGGGCTTCCTGACACAGCAAAGTCATTGTCACTGGACAGGAGCTTGCACATGTGGTCCTGGTCGGGCAGATGAAAACTGAAGTGCAGGAAGGAGGCCATAGGCCGGTCACTGGGCTCAGGCAACACCTGGCCATGAGGCCACTGGATCACTCAGTCCATTATGGCAGCATTCCCTTTACCCCCAGAGGGCACTGGAGAGCAAGGAGAAGAGATGCCCTTTCTGAAAGCTGCACTGTGCTCTGGGTCTGCCACCCTTGTGCCCGGCCTCCCTCCTTAAGGAGCTAGAGAGAAGGACGGAGGTAGCCTAGCCCCTACCAGGGTCTCGTTAGGCTGCATCATGTTCAATGATTGCTTCAGTCCAGAAGTACTGTCCAGAACAATGAAGGGTTTTTAGTGGACACTGATCAATTGGAATGGATGCAGATGGGGCAGGGTACTGAGATCCCTACCTTGGCCATGAATTAGTCCTCAAATTATTGGACTTTAGCCATTCCAAGGGACTCAGGGGAGGGGGAGGGGGGAAGAAGGCAGCTGGGGGGCTTTTGGGGGATTTGAGCCATGAGTATTTCCCACCTGATGTAGAAAAATTTCAATATTTTAGCAACAATACATCTATATCAGTGAGTAGCAGCTGAGTCTCTTTTTCTGCCTAAAGTGAGCTAACCATGTGCCTTAGCCAGTATCCAACTCTTCCTTTCTGCAAAATCATCCAACCCATCATATATCAACTGCTGGCATTCATTCATTCATTCATTCATTCAACAAGCATTCCTTGAACATTTACTATTGGCCACATACTATGAGGGCTGCCCAAGATGCAGAATGAATTAAAGAGGCAGTCAGTGCTCTTAAAAAATTCCTAGTCAAATCAGCCCTATGATCAAATATTATGCTTTCCACGGTAAAGACGGGCACAGGGGGACACAGTGGAAATCAGAGGAAGAAGAGGAAGAGGAGGAACATCTAGGGATGTAAAATTGGGATAAGTTTTGAAGCTTGCATAGGAGTTCAACAGACAGAGTTGAAGAAAAGACATTCTTCAAAGCAGGGACAGCAGAGCCAAGGCAGAACGCAGTGACTCAGGAATCTTAGAGGACAGGAAGTGGGTATGCTTGGAAAGGCACTTGGTCCCCTTCCTTAGGGCCACTCACCTCTTGTTCTGGGGAGGCAAGCACTGCCTCTTTCCTCCGTCTTGCCTCTTTGGACTCTTTCTCAGTCTCCCGGACCAGCTGCCGAATGAAGCCCCCTGGGATGACAGAGAACAGAGGCGGGGGCGAGGACGGTGGTGGGCTCTTGTCCTCCTCCCGGATCTGTTTGCAGAAGCAAACAAAGAGAGATCTGAGTGAGCTAGCAGAGGCAGGCTGCCCCCAGAGAGGGTGCCATGGACCCTGTGAGGACCACAGAGGACACACATGACTAAGCTGATGGATGGGAGGCCACATCAAAGCAGGGAAGCCTCAGTGGGATCCCAAAGACCTCACAACAATGCATGAAGGTGGAATGTAGCAGAGGCCACCCAGGCAATGCAATTTCTGCCTGGAACGAGTCATCATGATTTGAACTTGGCCCATCAGGGCCATAAGTTCCTGGCCATGACTTGAGACAGACCCATCTTCGGGAGGACCTGCTCTGGAAAGAGCTTCTCCAGTTTCCAGAAGGGAGTGGATCACCGGCAACCATCCACACTCTCCTGCCTCACCTCAACTTGGAGCTGGTATAATAGATACATCTCTGAATGCTTCATTTCCTGAGTGCCAGGACATGGCAGGGGACAGAGTTTGTACAGTCGGCCCTCTGTATCTGTGAGTTCCACATCTATGGCTTCAACCACCCACAGGGAAAAATATTTAAGAAAAATATTGCATCTGGGCCAGAGATTTAGTTCAGTGGTTTCGCTGCCTGCTGTGCAAGTGCAAGGACCCGAGTTTGATCCCCGGTACCAAAACAAAAAAAATTGCATATGTGTAAAACACATACAGACTATAATACAGCATAAGAACTATTTCCATAGCACTTACACTGTCCTAGGATTAGGACAGTGTATTATAAGATATTATAAGTCACCTGGAGATGACAGCATATTCAGGAGGGCATGCATAGGTTCTATGCAAATACTGCACCATTTTATATAAAGGACTTGAGCATCTGTCAATTCTGATATCTGCAGGGGTCCTGCAATTCCTCATGGATACTTAGAGACAGTTGTATAAGGACCCAGCCCTGTGGCTCCAGTTCCCTCACATGATCCCACTGTGTTTTTTCATGTCCTTTAAACCAGCCCCTAGGCAGCTGCAGTCTACCTAAAACTGACTTAAAACAAGCATCCTGGACAGTGGCATTTTACCCCTAGAAATGTGGCCAAGCCAGAGCTGCTAAAAGCTGAGGCCCTTCCTTTGGCCACAGAGAGTGACCTTGAAGGCTGAGACATGGGACCAAATGTGGCTAACGCGCATGAGTGTCTTAAACTAGGATCACTGTAACTGCTCATGAGGAAGAATAAGTCACCAGGGCTTTATATGGAAGAAGCACACTGTGGTTTAAAATAGCCTCCTTATCAAAGTTTCTTCATGTGTCTAGTAAAGGCTTGCTGTCTGCAGCTCAGCTGATAAAGGGATCCAAAGGAGACAGGAGGCAAGGAGACCTAGTGGGGGTGGGGGGAGGCTTTCTGATGCGGATCTCTGCCCAGGCACAGGGTGGGGGTCAGGTCCTGCAAGGCCAGGCTCAGGACTAAGACCTACTTCCTAAAAGAGGGTGAGTCACCCTCTGTTCCTTGCAACACTGGCTCCAGTAATGTGCCTGGCAGCCTGAGAGGGCCAGGGGGCAGCCAGAAAGAAGCCTCTCTCTCTGCTTCTGACTCCAAGGCATTAAATCACATGCACAAAGCTGAGGGGCCAGAGGCATCAGAAAGAGAGAAGGGGTTGGGGGGAAGAGAAGAGAGAGAGAGCCCTTCTTGGTGCCTTATGAGAAGTATAAGGAGTAACTGGGAAGAAAAGCCAATTTCTAATCCTCCATGGTGACAGAAGGTAGGGACCATGAAAAGCCACCCCTGTAGCATCAGCCTGCCACCCACCTTTGCACCCCGCCCCCGCCATGAGCACAGAGACTGGGCAGTAGGTCTCCCCTCATTCTCATTTCCCAGCCTCCAGATCAGGGACATCAAGGTAATGGTCACCAACGCCAGCTGGGTCAGGAAGGCTGGGTGGAGCTGGCTAAGGAAAGGTGGCAAGTGGGCCTGGGCACACCCCAGGAAAAAATGGGCATCAGGCTCCCTGTCCCCCAGTGTGGTGGGTCCTCCAAGCCCACAGCTGCATCCCAGCCCTGAATATCACTTTCCTTCTGCTCCCATAGGGCAAGGCGTGATGAGATGGCCATGCTGGGCAGCACCAGGGCGTGAGGTGGTGAGATGAGAAGATGAGTGATGAGCCGATGAGGCGAGGTGGTGCTCCCTGCAGGCAGCACGGAGTGGGCTTTACACACACGCAGAGCACATGAGGTGGGAGGACACAGGCCTGACACACAGAGACACACTGGGGAGAGAAGAAAGACAAGTTAGACCACGAGCACAGTCTCGCTCCCACCACCGCCAATGCTGTGAACCGGGGAAGGGCACAACCAGGGACAATGATGGCTGTTCAGGCTCATGAGGACTGTGGCCAGCAAGGGGGCTACTGGCCATGGATCATGAAGTGGCAGCACCCTGAACTCCTCTTACCCACATGTTAACCCTTTATGAAGGTACAACACACAAAAGTACATCATCACACACATGCAGCCCAGTGGCTCTTACAAAAAGACCATTTCTACAGAACTAGCATATTGGTCAAGATCTCAAAAATATAAGAAGTTCAAGAACAGGAGAATCTCTCTGGGTGTGGTGATGCACATCTGTAATCCTACCACTCTGGAAGGCTGAAGCAGGAGGATCACAACTCTAAGCCCAGCCTATACAACTTAGCAAGACTCCATCTCAAAATGAAAAAGGGATAGGGAGGTAGTTCAGTGGGAAGGCCCTGGGCTCAATCACCAAAACTACCCCCCAAAATTTATTTTAATGCAACTAATGGCAATGGAAGGAAAAGGAGCTCTAAGCTGGGAAAGGGTGTAAGGGACCTTTATAGGGACTGGGAATGTCCTGTATCTTGACCCAAGAGATGCTAATATAAGTGTATCATATGCAAAAACTCATCCCATTGTATAACTGAGATCAGACATTTTACTGTATGAGACAGAAATCGTATCTCAACTCAAAATGCAAGCAGAACACCGAGCCCCTGGAACCTCCCTCATGGTCACTGTTCCCTCAAGGGCAAATGCTACACTAACTGCTAACACCAAGAAAGAGAGATGAGTCTTCTTTTAATAAGAGGATAATTGCTTATATGGTTTGATCTTGCAAATTAGATGAGAGCAGGAAACCATAGCTCCCAGTTGGCCCCAACTTTGGAGATAGGATTCAGTCATTGTATTGAAAGCCTCAGCATTAACTTTGGGCCCAGAAAGCTGTATTCTGGAAATAAAGTTGACAAAGTAAGCCTAAACCAGAAAATGTCATCAATCGGTCACTTAGAGCATTGACAAAGCAGACATGGTGGCCAATACCTAGAGAATATCAAATAAAGCACTGTCCTTCAAGTATGTCCAACTTGAAGGAATATTAAAGCTCTATGGAAGAGAATTTTAGGAAACATTGGTTTTAAACAGTTTTATCAAGGTTTCATTTGGGTTCTATGAGATCCACCCACTGTAAGTGCACAATTTGATGATGTGTTCTTCTTTTTATAGTGCTGCGAATGGAACTCAGCCACAGTTATTTTGTCACAGCAGTGGAAAATGGACTAAAACAGTGGAATGCAGTGTTGCACAATGAAAAGTAACCAAAATCTGAAAATAAAAAAACACCCCACATAGAAAATCAAGTGCAAGAAAATACACCAGGGTCTTCTTGGAGGTGCCATGAGAAGAGACTCTTTCTCCTTCCTTCCACTTGCTCCCTTCTAGCTCCTGGCCATGCCCTCTGAGAAGCATCCCTCACAGGCACCTCCCTGGGAGATGCACTTGCCCATCCCCCACTGTCAGAGCCACCACTGGCCAGGCACTTTCTAGGCCTTGTGGGCTAGGAAGTGGCCATCTGCAGTGACCTGTGCAGGAGAAGACAGCTTGGGAAGCTGCGCATCATGGCAGCCATGAGGTGGAAATGAGCTAGAGTCCAGAACCAGCACAAGCCGATTCTCAGCCCTTTGCAAGAGCCCACCAGGAAGATCCATCTCCAATGCTGTGCTCAGCAATGCTCCGTTAGTGGCTTGGCATCAGCCATGGGAGTGTCTACACTTCAGAAAATGGCAACTACTACAACAGGACACAGATTTAGGGATTTGGGTGCTCAATGCTTCTCAACACAGGACTAGGGGAAATTACAACACTCACTCCTGAGCAAACTTGCAAGGAGAGACTCTCAAGATACAGAGATCCAAGAAGGGACTTCCAGCTCTGATGGGGCCACATGCCTGAGAGAGACTCTGGGAACATGCCCCTGTGCAACAGCTGAGTCTGCTTTAAGAAACAGGCTGTATGAATGAGGCATGGTGGTAAACAACTGCAATCCTGGCACTCTGGAAGACTGAGGCAAGAGGAGTACAAGTTTGAATCCAGACTGGACAACTTACTAACTTCACAAGACTCTGTTTCAAAATAAAAAAAATTTAAATGGTCTGGGGATATAGCTCGACACTTAGGCCCCGGGTTCAACATGAGGCCAGATCTTAGGTAAGAGGGGTTGGGGATTGGAGGAGGGAAGGGGGTCAAAGACATCTTGCCCACTGTCCCCTTGGGGACACAGGAGAGGCCCTGAGTGACTCACAGGCATCAGGCCTGAAGAGCAGAGCCGGGCTATGAATAGGCCTGACGTGAGGCACTGTCCTGGCTGTGGCCTTTCCTCCCCTGCCCAGCCTGGCCACATCGTGGCTGCCACCAAAGAATCACTTTCAGCTTAGAGCTCCAGGGAATCCTGACTGTAGATGAGGCTTTCCTAAACACAGTGGGTGCCACTTGGCTGAGGTCTCCCTTTGAGGGGGCAGGAAATGGAGCCCAGTGGGGCCTCATTCTCCCTGTCCTTACCCCCAAAGCTCTGAGCCAGCCCCACTGACCCAGGGCAAGGTGCCATCCCCACAGCAAGGCTTTGTCAGCCTTAATTTAAGCAAGTGTTCTTATCACCATGTCCCTTCCTGGCTGAAATGCACGCCTGCCTCATCAGTAGCTGTATTCAGCCCATGAGGAGCCTCCACATGGATTCCTGCAAAAGCCCCAAGTCTCCCCTTAGGGAGGAGGGAGGCTGGTGAAGGAGAGGCAGCCCTCAGAGACAGGGATGACGTGGTCCATTTCCCACATACCCTACATCTGAGAGGCCCGTGGACCCTTCCCCCATTGCCCCACTGCCAGGCAGCCAGACCTCCAGGCATCTCACCTGTCACAGAAGATAGATGTCCAGGAGCTTATGGTACCAACGAAACCCTCATGACCACCTGTTGTAACAGCTCTTCCCTTCAGGCCACCAAGTCAGTTACACTGACCCCTGGGTACACTTCCAACCTGTTCCTTCTGCTCTGAATGCCCTCCTTAATGCGCAGCTCACACCTTATTCTCTTTCAAGTCTTTGCTTGGAGTCCTCTTTGCAGTGAACCTGCCTTTCACCCCTATTTAAATTGCAGCATAGCCCCCCGTCCCATCCCACTCCCCTGCAAAGGGAAGAATTTCCCTCTGCTCCATTTTCTTCAATATTTGATAAATATTCATTGAATGAATAGTTAGGGGGATGAGAAGGAACAGAGCAGCAGGTCTGTGGCAAGGATTTCTGCCATCATCTGCCTCCACACACAATGGGAGTGCACACCTTCATGGCCCTGGGAAGTTCTCCCAGCCTGTTTCCTTCTCTGCAAAATGGAATGACACCCACCTTTGCAGCAGGTGCTGACCACTGGTCATTGCTCTCAACCCTGTTTCTATTTTCACTTGACTCCATGGTGACAGCTTGCCTAGAGACCCCAGCACAAGAGGACTCACTGATATTTAGAGAGAGTCAGTGATACACCAAGCACTGAGCTAGGTCCTGCCATGAAACTGCCCCTGTCATTCTGAAATTCCCACCAGACCAGAATCATCCTGGTACCAAAATCCTTTTCACATTACATTCTTACAACAGTACCACATGGCTGGCTTCTTTCCCAGGGCAGACAGCAGCTTGGAGAGGCTGGGGTACTGGTCTGAGGTCACCCAGTAAGAAGGCCAAGGTGAGACTCCCCCCAGGTATGTCTGAGTCCTCTTGTTCATCCTGGCTCCCCATATCCCAGTTCTATATCAGCAAGGGGTGCCAGGCCAAGGCTCAGAGGTCCCCTGTGTCCAGTGGCAAGGTGAGGAATCCCAAGAAGTTAGCTCAAGCAGGTACATCCTTGGGTAGGGCTGGGTGTGCAAGGAGGAAGCACTGAAATTGACTTAGCCTTTGTTTGGTGCCAGTCATGGGGCCGGATGTACCATGGGCCAGGGATCAGGGCAGTTAACAAATTCATTCATGGTCACACAGAAAGGAAAGGGATGCCCGGGTGCCTAAATCCCTGTGCTGCTGCCCTCTGAGCTCTCTGCCCTCCCTACCTCAAAGGTGGATGCAGCACAAACAGAGCTGGTGGCGGGGAGCACCCCTGGGAGCTGGCCTCTGCTGTGCCAGGTGCCTGGATAACCCCACTCTTTGCTCTCCCCATTCTTCTTTCAGGTGGACTCAGCCAGTAGCTCCATCGAAGAACACCCAGACAGAGGCAGGGAGGTCCCTTGCATCCAGCCAAGAGGGGTAAAGCGAGTCCTGGGATACAGACAGGCCGACTGCAGAGATTGTGCCCACAGCCACCACAGGACAAGGTCTCCCCACACTGCCCGCCACTCTGCTGGCATGCAGAAGCTTCTACATGACAGCTACACTCTTCCCCTTCTGGGCTCTTACCCATATGCACCATCTCTCAGCAGCCCTTCTGGCCACCTGGTCCCTGACACCCTCCCTGGCCCTCTGACACCCTCCTGCCTCCTCCACCCTGCCCTTGGCTCACCTGGGCACATGACTTAGTCACTCTTGGGCCCTGCACCATTTTCATCTACACTTGGACTTCTGCCTCCCTCACCGCCGCTTGTGAGTGTTACTACCGATTCCCCAGCTGGCCCTCAAGGGTCCTGAGGATGCGCAGAGGAGCTGACTCCTGTGTGCTCTGGCACAGAGCTAAGATGCACAGTGGAGACAAGCTAACCTCCTGACACCTGCTATCTCTGAATATCACCTGGGAGGCCAGGTACACAGGGAAAGGAGCTGCTGGGAGGACCGATGACATTCCTATCAGCCTCTGAGCCTGGGTCCTTCCTATCAGACACAGAGTCATATTCTATCTTGCTCTCTGCCCACAGATGCTATCCCCTTGGGGTTTATCCACTGTCTCCCGTGCTTCCCACCCTGTTGGTGAGGTCAGCTAATGGGTCTCCCCACTGCATTTGGCTG